TATATATATATATCCAACAAAAAGTGGAAGTATGTGGAAAGTTGAAGTGCTCGATTCTGACTGCATCGCATTCAATGTGAACAAGTTAAGATCGATTGATTCTGTCGACCGTCTAATTCTATAAAGCGTGCGTCAAACCTTCTAATTTGCCAGGAGCAGCTCCTTTCTGGCGTCATGGATTTATAATCGTCATGGAACTACCACCCTGGGTTTCAATCCTCTAGTGTCGCCAGGAGCAACCTCCGGCCAGGCGACAGGTCGAGGATTGCAACAAACATATACAATAACATATATGCAACATGGGTTGACCAGTCATTTGCACTTGATGCTTCAATACGAGCCGGATCCAAAGCTATATACAGTTGCCACGCCGAGACGCGACAGTGCGCACCAGTGCACAGCCACCGCATGACCCACGGATGAACCTTTTGATTTTACGCTTTTGTGAGCTATTGCGCAGACGTTCCTTCAAAGGTCGATCTAGCACCTTGGAAAACTCATCGGTATGACTGCAGCCTTGCAATCTCATCACAAATGCGGTCCAGGATGAAAGAATTGTTCCTTGCGCTGTTGCATCACGTGTTCAGCCCCAAACCACCAGTTTTTACACAAACAATGTGTAGAAGTTATTGGGCAACCCTTCGTTAACACATGGGCCAATAGACGATAATAGTCGTAATAGTAATAATATACACACACCATCAACCCTTTTTCCAAAACCAAACATGCAGCAATGCATTACCAAAGCTTTCCCCAACCGATTCCTCAAAAGTTTACTTCTTGGGCTTGAAGACCGGCTGGTTCGGGTGATTCGGTGTCTCCTGGTGCACCTTCACCTCCGTCGACTTCGTGATCATACGCCATTTCTCCATGTGCTCTTTGACCATCGCCAACGCCATGCCGTGCGTGACCCTCTCCTGACAGAAGCTTCAATTGAAGCACTGCGTATACGTTGCGATGTTGAATTGAGGAACCACACAATTATAGAACACGCGTCTCGCAAAGAGCTCAATGACAATACGAAAACAAACATAAGAAAAAGGACATTAAAAGGACAAGCGAAAACAAACATAAACTAATTATGTCTAGGTCACACGCGCGTAGAAGAATCTGGCATGGATGAAGTTTCCAGTCGCTGCAAAGGTCCAGACAATGGCGTGGACCGTCCCTCCCCGTCGTCTTTGGTCACGACTTCTTGGTGCACAGCTACCATTGGACGACACTCGTGAACCACAATTCCCATCTTCGGAAACGAGTCACGACAATGCTTGTACACAAAGAAGGGCTTCCCGTTCCAGCTTTCACGCCCTTCAAATGTGTATTTGACGGCGCCGCCGCCGCCACGGGCAAAACAGGAAATGAAAATATTGTCTTCGGTCAAAACTGACTCATGATGCCCCTGCCACAGTTCTCGGAAATCACTGAGCTTGATGGCGTTTTTGCCACTCTCTGGGATGAAGGCGTATTCCATGACCACTGCGGGCGTCATGACTATTGGCTCCATCCCTGATGTTTAATCTTCTGATGATAGTTACATCAAGCTGCATCTCTCGCCAGAAGTTTCAATCCTCTCATGCTGCCAGGAGCGACTCCGTATAGCAGACAGGTCGAGGTTTGAAACAGAAAGAAGAAATACCATATGCCACATATATGGGTTGAACTGTCATTCCTCTGATCAAAAAGTTACAATCCTCTGATGGTTCAATCCTCTGATGTCTGCAGGAGCAACTCCTTTCAGCAAACAGGTCGAGGATTGAATATAGATTCGAAACCACTCGTTGTTGAGCCAAATAATTCAAATGCAATTGGACATTCATGGTTGAACACCACTTCAAATTGTTAGACACTCAAATCGAATCAAACCTTATAGAATTTTCGTCTTGAGGTTCAATCACTGAAATGCCAACCTCTAGGTTAATATAACAAGACGATGCAACAAACCGATCAATGTCAAATTGATATGCGCAAAATCCACACGCTGCCCCGGATAGACCGAAACGAGCCTGCATGCCAAAGGCAGCTGCCGCGGCATTGGATCACATCCTTGGCCGGTGCAATGAGACCATATATAGACCAACAGATGGTCAATGTATAAACAAAACCTGAAAAACAAGTCAACAACTTGTACACAATGCCCCCCAAAAGCATTGAACAGTCGATACTGGTCTATCAAAAACCACAACACAGATTGAGTTCATGCGCTCACTTCAAACGGCCTGAAAAATAATACAAACAAAAACCAGGACTCCTAAAACTCAATTCAATACAACTCTTTGAACATGATGCCCAATCCACCCACTGTCTCGAATGACCCGAAGCGAGCCTGCGTGCCAAATTCAGGCAGCTGCCGCGGCATTGGATCACATCTTTTGGCCGGTGCAATGGGACTATATAAACCAAATGATGGTCAATGTACTCAAGACCTGATCAAACAAAGAAGTCAACCTTTGTGACGACCAAAAACCCGATTCAATTAATCATTCTTTTGAAGGTTTCGAAACCACAAAAACATGTGTTATTGTATATAGTTTGGTGACCTTTGGTGGTTCCCTGCTTACATGCCTGCGTGCTTGAGCGTCGTTCTGGCATCTACGGTGGTTCATTGTGAATATCCCATGTGTTTAAAGCGCTGAATACACGCCCACCAATCTGAATCCAATCAATATATGTATACTTGGAGCATCGAAACAAAATGTTTGGAACACATATGTTCGGAACATCGAAACAAAGCCAAAACAAGTATAGTACATGATTGAAACGTATGTATGAAGTACAGTGTTTACACACGAGGATGCGAGCACGTGTGGCCCGACACCACCTTGATCATTGAATTTAACATCAAAAAACACATTTTGCTAACGATATACAAAAATAGATCTTTATATATCTTATATATTCCACTTACTAAGTTCGACCGGTCGAACTTATAAACATAGATACTAAGTTGGAGAACCTCAACTAAAACATATATCGAACTTACATATCTTAAGATAGTAAGTTCACATTAAGTAGATCATATGTTCGCTATCTTCGCGTTGGACTTACTAAGTGGTTATATCACCTTAGTCAGTACAGACAGGAACACAAGTGCACATAGGCAGTATAGAGGCGAACTTAACACGGTTGCAAGTTCGTTACCGCAGTTGCAACCACCTTATACCTAAGTTATAGTCTAGTTATATTCGGTTAGTAAGCTGGACAACGAGGCTAACTACTTACAACCCCAACCGCACATCCAAGTAGGTAACCTCCCGCGCCGCTGCCGACGTGTGTAAGGCCGTGAGGGCCTGCACTTGGTTTGCTAAAGCTGCCACCTGCTCTGCCAGGGCAGCGTTGGTCATCTTCTTCGCAGCTGCCTTCTTCGCTGGTGTTTTGGGCTTGCTCGGAATCACTGGCGTGTCTAGCTCCTCTCGAGCTGAGTAAAAATTTGCACGGCCATCAGCTTGTGTAGCAATCCAACTCCTTGCAGCTGTCACCAAAACCGAGGTGAGAGGCAAAGCAGCAGGGTACTCCTCATCAAAAGGCATGATGTCTGCTCCCGCATCGCCCGCGGGATCATAGCCCCTAACAGCCCCAAGGAAGCTGTCCGTGACATCAATCAAAAGCACATCAATGGGGTAGGAATCCACTGCTACTATCTCTCCGGTCTCACTCTCTTCAACCATCGAGGCCCCAGTCACAAATGAGGGCCCCAAAACTGAATTCTCATCCTCTCTCTGGCCTGCATCCAGGGCGTTGCTCGCAAAAGAAGCAACAGGAACTGCCAGTAGCAGGCCACCCTCTCTTGACAAAAATAGGCAAAGCAAAAACTGATCTAGGCTCACCCTCGGCTGCTAGGTCCGAAGGCACATGCACAACTAGAAGGCTTGGCTCGCCTTCTTCCCCGAACCTTAGTTGTTCCTTCTGCATTGCTTCAACGCCGGAATGTCAATCCGTGCACCCAAGCAAAAAACTTGCAACTCGGTCAGTGATGGGAACTCTTCAATAATGGTGCTCTCGGTCAGACGAGTCAGGGCCAAATTGGCCTGCTTGCGGGATCCGGTCCTAATCGGCTCAACTAATCCTTCCCCCTCAAAATGATCCAATGCGTACTGTGCAAATGAACTACCGGGCCGGCTTTCTGATACTCAGTGTTATCGCAGTGCGGACCAGGCCAAGTGGCCACACTGAAAGGCTCTCCTGACCCTGGGTTCTAGTGGAACACTCGAAGACTTCAGCCGGGCGGCACAAATCCAGGATGTTCTGAGGCACGGGCGGACATGGGTCTCCAGGCAGGACCGAGTTAGCTCCTGGGTAGGACTCAGTGGCCCTAGGGCTGGTCGAAAGGCGTGCTTGCCGCATCAACCACCTCCCACTCAATCTGATCAGCAAATCCACTCTCCTCGGCCCCATCTGCCAACCGGGAACTAAGGTTCTGAACCCTTGAGCTCAAAGCGGAAACCTCAGCAGCTATCAATGCGAGCTCTAGACGAATGCCGTCCAGTGCTGCCTTAGTGCTCATGCAAGTATCCACCTAGTCTTCTCGAAAGGGTCCTGATCGCAGCGGCCTGGCGAGGCCCTAGGGCGGGGCTTGAGATGAATTGCCACAGGAAAAAGCAAGCGCAGATACAAAGAGGAACCGAAATGCAAAGACCACAGATGATGCCGAGAATGAAGGGTCCGAGGATGGACGGTGAACAGTGGGCTGGACAAGCAAAGAGGTGAGATGCTTGAATCAGGGCCGTTGCCCCACCTAGAATCCTGTCCATGAAGCTTGAGAGGCAAGTCGCGTCAGTCACTGATATTGTCACGCTGTCTACCAACTCGTCAGGTACCAAAGTTCCGGCTGGCCCCCTTCAATTGAAAGGATTGCACGATAGGATCAGTTTGCAAATAACATCAGCTAATCATTAAAACACTCTGCTTGCTTGCATTTTCGATGACGCACCAATGCTTCACCAATGCTTCGCCAATTTGGGGCTTCCTGATGAACTTGCGCTAGCAATAGTTCACCAACTCACCTCGTGTTCAAGGAGGACCACATTTTCTCCTGCAACGATCGACATGTGTAGTTCGCCCTGGGGACTGGGACCCTTGAAGTTGAGACCTTCAAGTTCGAGTCGGTGGGGAATCACTGGATGGGGAACCTCTCAACAACCGCCGTGGAAACCCATTCAGATTCTTGATGGATAATATTTAGAATTTAGACTGCAATCTAGAACAAGCAATTGAATCCATTGAGCCAAAGCAAACTTTCGAAGGCCGTTCCGGAGTACTGATCCACAGGCGCAGGGTACGTGCAAGTGGTTTCGGTCATCACTTCCACCATAGTCTTGGTGCTCTCGATACAGCACTTTCACCTATAAGTTGAAATCTTGCATTTCTGACTTTCCACGCCCGCAGTCAAAAAGCTGCTTTGTAGGCCAACTTGAATCTTTTAGCTCGTTGCTTCACACTGGACACACACTAGCTTGACAAAATGCACACATGCAAAGACCATGGGGATAGCGCTGACTCTCGGAGCATGCTTCCTTTTCTGCCGCGCCTAGTTTTGTTGTTCAACATAATTTTCTTTGCACCGCTTCAGCTGATTGCCTGTAAATGTCTTGACCGCTGTTTTCTCTGGCGTACTTTTTGTCATTTGGATAGCTTTGTTGTTCTCTTTTGTCTTGGCACTGTTTTGGCCTCAAGCACACAGAGATGTTTCATCACTGTTTTTTCTGGTGTACCAAAAGCTATGTTGGACTCTTTGGTGCTTGATGTGCCTTTGCTATCTTTGGATTGTTTGTTGAACTACATACAGTCTTGACAATGTGGTGGACCATTGGAACACAATCCCTTCGCATAACCTGTCTAAATTAATTACATTTTGACGGAAAACACGGCTTTTTGGGGAGGTTAGGGCAGGCTGCAGTCTTGACATGGGCACTCTCAGAGTCACCACAGTCTTGACATATATACATATACATATACAAATAGATATACATATACAAAACATGCCCCAAAGGGAAAGTAATTGAAACTGGCCCTATATTCTATTAGTCCACAAACCTTGGGCAACTCCGAATCACTTGGCTTGTCCCAAATTACGCAAATTACACTATGGTGCGACATGTTTCTTCAACCATTCGCACCACAGGAGTAAAAGTGCCGGCTCCTGCACTGTAGCTAGGTTGCCGCACAAATCCTGCAGCTCCTGCACGAGACATTGGACTGCCCCGAGACCTCAACATGTCCAGAAACTACCATGCCTGCTGGCTGATACTATTTACTCAAAGGTCTATTTATACAACTTGACTTTAAAACTGTCTAGCTCCAAAAGAGTTCTAACATTCCAAGCTCCAACAGCCAGCGGTTTCATGTTTAGTTGCTAGGTACGTTCCTGGCTGATCCTGCTTCAGATTCAACAATTGTAATGCGTTTGTGGAGCAAGAACGGCTGGCTATCTATTGAGTGAGGCTTTTCCCACCCCATCAACCGAGGGAGCGCGCAAGCCGCTAGACCACTTGCGGTTCAAAACTCAAGACGTGGGGGTTCGCATTTTGCTCGCAGAGTGTTGGGTGGTAGGCGATTCGGGCGGTGCCTGGTTTTGAGATTGCTTCCTGACCTGGCAAGTTTCAAGTAAGCCGTAACAAAATCCACATGTCATTCTCCTCAACATGTCTCACTCTGACATTGGTTTGCTGTTAACTCAATTCCCACGTTGAGAAGGAAGGTGAGGGAAACGCAAGGTGAAAAGGTCAGCGCACTTGTATTGTTTGAACAAACTGTTGACATGTCTGCGGTGGCGAACGTCAGCGCGACTCAGCTGCATGAGAAAGCGGCAAAAGGTTTGGGGGAAGGTATCATGACCCACCATGAAAACAAAAAAGGAAAATTGGACAGCGTGATCAACAGTTTCCTGGCAGGTACACAGATTGGCGTTCCAATCTGCTTCACGGAATGTCCACACCTTTCTTCGTTGGCAGCAGAACTGTGGATTCCCTGCTGCCCCCTGCTTGCACGATCGCGGAACCCTTTGGAACAGGGGTTGACACACACAGGAAGCCGAAATCGGCGCAGGTGCATGAGACGGTGGCATCGTGCTCTTTTTCTCAAAAAAACGCCGGCGTGCTGTTGGATCATGTCCTTAGTGGACGTACAGCCGGATAAGCTCTTCAGCCGCTGCCGCTGCGGTGTGTGGTGGAAAGGTGTATGTATAAATTGCATGTAGTCTGGAAGCTAAGCCGGAAAGAGCCAAGCGCTGGCTACCGGCGCTGGTGTGGTCCCTGATTTTCCAGGGTTGTGTGGGTTGGATGTAGGTGATGGTTCGTTGTGGGAGGTCAATGTTGAAGCCGAGGAGGTGAAAGTCGTCCACTGTTTCCAGTTCCACTGGATCGCCGAAAAAGTTGTGGTGGATGAGGGTCTGGATGGCTGGGTGGGAGAGGAAATGTTCGTTGTGCACGGTGAAGCGGTTGTCGACCTATCTGTAGTATGTGAAGTGGAAGGTAGTGTGCTGGAGAAGGTTGTTGTGGAGTTGGTGCCAAGAGTGTTCAATGAGGGTGATGGCGACGTTGCAGAGGGCAGGAGAGAGTTGGGAGCCAATCCCAGCCCCTCGTATTTGTTTGTAGGTGTTGTTGCATGCCCGGAAAATGCAGGTGTTGAGTGCAAAGGCCACAATGGTTGTGATGTCAGAGGTGTGGAGGGTGCGTTGTGTAGGATGTTTTGTGTGGTGTCTGCCGACGTGGGAGTGATGGAAGGGGTTGCCAGTGGCTTTGGCGTCAATGGTCAAGGTGTGTGTAGTATTCTGGTGCTGCCATTGTTGGATCATAGAATGGACGGCATCAATAAGGCGGTGTTGGGGCACTGAGTTGAAGAAGCCCACAAGGTCCTCGTTGGTCGCGTGTAGAGGAATGTCTGCCGGTGTGTGTGTGTAAGATAGCAATGGAAGTGGCGCCATAGTTGTGGGATGGACAGTTGGCCTGGATGTTGTGGGAAGAGGTGTTGCAAAATGATGTCGAGTGCTCGGCTGGTGCGTAAGAGGTTGCCACTGAGGGAGTGGAAGTACGAGATGATGGTACGTCCCTTCTGCCACTGCTTCTTTGCTTTGAGGTGGACAATGCCGTATGGGATTGTGAAATCTTTCCTGAATCCCCATTTGTATCGGGAGCGTAGGTTGGCCGGGATGGTGGCGGAAAGATGGTCGTGGATGCTGGAGGAATTGAGATGTGGAAGGGGTTCAAAGAGTTCCGGAGCTTGCCATGTGTTGAGCGCTCCGGTGAAGTATTGACGTGGGCAAAAAATCCAGAGTTGCTGGAGTTCGTGGTCCGCATGGTGGAGCACGACTTTGTCGCCTAGGTATTCTTGAAGTTGACGGAGGAGGCGAGCTGTAAAACGTGGTTGTTGTTTGAGGTGTGTAGTGTGAAGTCGCCATTGATGCTGAAGGAAAGGCTCCAAGTGCTGACTGAGCGAGGTCAGGAGGCCTTGCATCCGGAGCCATTTGGTGAAAGCTGTTTGGAAAGTGAGAAAGTATCTGGCTTTGCTCAAATAGAAAGTGCTGTTCATGTTGGCGTCAATGAAAATGCGGAGGTGTGGTGGTAATGTCAGTTGGTCCAGGATGAGAATGTAGTGGTCGTTGGTGGTGGCGGTGGCTGGGTCAAGAAGTAGAGTGTTGAGATGGTCATTGGGATCTGGAGGAGTGTGCAAGGTATCTTCCCACGTGCGGTGGTTGTGAAGCTGTGCTCGGAGTGTTTTGTGGGCAGCTTCGCGTAGACGATGTGTGGGGAGGTGGAATGGAATGGCTAAATGCTTGTGTTGTTGGATGGTGGTTTGCTGGCAGTGCTTGGTGAAATCGTCATGAGCCAGGAACGGTACTGTAAGGGGAATGTTGGGCTTGGGAGGTGTCAGATTTCTGTAGTGAAGTGCTTTGTCGATAATGTGCAGGGCTCGGGTACGACCTGGCTCTTCGAGATTGGAGGCCATACGTCTGATGGCATACACTTCTAGGTCAGTGTGACGGCCGCTGCGAAGTTGTTTGGCTGCTTCAAAGGAGGCCAGAGTGTGCTTGGTGAGATTGCGAAGAAGAGTCAGGGCATGATGTTTGGTGGAAGTAAAAAGGTACGGTTCTCTGATTGTCTGCTGTCGTCTGCGAAGCTTGCGAAAAAGCATCTTGTGTGTGGCCAAGCGGGAGTAGAAATGCGCCCGGTGCTTGGTGAATTGCCAGCCCTCGGCTTTGAGCTTGAGATGTTGGGAGATGAAGGGCCAATTGAGAGGTGGCATCCAGTTGGAGATGAAGTGGTGTTCTTTGATCCACGCTTGGTCGTAGTTGTCGTGGGAAGAGAGCTGAATGGGGGTGAAGTGGTGTATGTTGCCATGGGAGTGCCAGTAGCGCAGGGAAAGTTCAGCGGAGACTGGGATGTTGTTTTGAAGTTGCTTGAGCTTGGCACGGCGGTTGTGTTCTCGATGTGGTATGCCGATGGCGGTGGAGCCCACATAATAGTGGCCATGTTGATGGTAGCGCCGTTGTGGTGTGATGGTGTTGAAGTGGAGTTTGATGTAAACCGAGTTGGGGGAGAGAAAGTTGTGGTAGTGGTAAGTGTGAGGGAGCACTTGGAGGTGCCGTAGGCGCTGTCGCCATTGTTGGGAGCGTTGGGTAGACGACGGAAAGCAAAACAGAAGGGTGATGTGAATGAGGCCGACGCGTTCGATGTATTGGCTGTGGTGAATGAGTGTAGAAAGGGCTCGGTGTAAGTGGTAGAGTTGTTGTAAGTATGTGTTGTGCGGCAGGTGTTGGCTGCAAAGAGAGAGTCAGCAGGCGACAGCTGCCCCCGTACTGACAATGTGCTGCAAGCTCTTGATGGTAAGCTTGTTGACACGGTTGAGTGGCAAACCGGATCGAGTAGCCGCTTCTTTTAGCTGGTCAGTGGTGACCTTGCTCGTCTGGAGAATGCGGAGCACTTCTTTGGCCGATTCTTGAACCGTTGGGTCGAAAGTGCGCATCCATTGCAGAATGGCTGGAGCCGTCCATGAGTCTGGAGCGTCGTCTTTTAAAGACGGGTGGGGTGGTTGGAGGACGTCCGCCAGCGCGGGGGGCTTGTGTGCTGCGGGTTCTGCTGGAGCGGCTGCTGCGCTAGGGGCGGAGGAACGACCGGCGTCTTTTCGGGGTGTAAGTTCGATGCCGTGGGCTTGGAGCTTTTCGCGGGCTCGGGCCAGGTCGTCTGACGTGGCTTTCAGGGCGCGAAGGGCGGAACCTTCTGCCGCTGCTGGAGCGTGGGCTTGAAGTTGTTGAGTGAGGAGGGAAATCAGTGGGGCATGAAAGGCGCGGGCTTGGGTTGTTTTGTTGGGGACTGCGGTGCCTTGGGATGTGTGGATGGCTTCCGCAATAGCATCCAGGTCGAGGCGCTTGTCCCGAATTTCTTGTAACAGTTGGGTTGTAAAAACGGACTCAGCAATGCTGCGTGTCGGAATGAGGCCGCAATACTTTCCGTGGCTCAGAGTCCTGGCCGTGTAATTGGCCGTTCCATGGTATAGGCGAGGAGCCATGGAAAAACATCGAAGGTGGGAAGTCCGACGATGCCGACACGGCGTGACCATTGTGTGGGCTGTATGGTGCGGTGAAGTTGATGGCCGTGCAATGCATTAGAGTCCCAGTGGGAGTCTGTGGGATGCCACGAGTCTTGAAGTGGTGGCTGGGGAAACGGGACGGTGGACGGCGGTGCAGGTGGAGCCTGGTGAGTTGGACTGTGCTTGAATGAGGTGGCGTTCGGAGTAGTAGGGGCTGCTGTTGGAAGTGGTGGCGGTGGAGGTGGTGGGAATGGCTGGTTTGTAGAAGGCGAGGGAGTGTGTGCGTTTGTGAGTTGGCAGGCGATGGAGTGTAGGGGTGTTGATGGTGTGCCTGTTGGGTGCGTACTGAATGGGTCACAGGTCCGTAGGTGCCCGTGGGAGTGTATTGGTGAGTGGCTTGGCTCTGTTGCGTTGTGGGCTGCTGTTGCTGCTGTTGCTGCTGGAGAAGATAATGTTGCCAGTAAAATTGTTGCCACTGCGCATCCATGATGTCAAGGTGTCGGGCTCAAAGTGAAAGAATGGGAAGCGGAAAGTTCCAGCAAGAAGGCTGTCGTGTGAGGTTGTAATATGGACACGGAAAAGCTCTTGTCGCAGGCACTCAAAACATATCGGAGCCGTTATGCAAAACCGTGCTTCCAGCTGTGGTTTGAAATT